AATCTTTCCACAATCATTGTTATGTTAGAATGATTCTCACTTACCCTTTTACAATAAGCTAAAACAAGTGACGTATTTGCTCCTGAGTATGATCCTAAGGAGCTGCTATCTTCTGTCCTGTCCTTGGTTGGATCAAACAGATTTACTATAACTTTCAGTGATCCTCCACCTATAAATATATATATACTTACACACATACATATTTGTATATAAACATGTACAAATAATATTTTTAAAAACAAGTTTTCAAAAAGACGATTATTAAAATATAATAAGTAATATAAATTAAATAAATTAAATATAAATACCTGAATCTATTCCAACCTTTACAAATGTGTTTTGTGGAACCTGCCCTCGATATTTTATTACAAAATCCAGAAATGTTGTAATATCTTCAATATATACCAAGTGTCTCTTCACTGTAGCATAGTCATTTTTTTGAAAGTCTAATAATTCAGTGACATAAAGTTGGAAAGTAGTTTACTTTTTTCATCCAGGGCTTTCTCCATGTTTGACTTAAACTTTACAATACTTCTCCTCAAAGTTTTTAACATTTCATTTGATTGCAATTGACTAAGTCCTAAGGTATTTACCAAAACTTCTACTTCATTACAAGGAATCTTTCTCTGGTCACTTTCCCGAGTACCGAGTGTAATATGAATACTTTTACCTCCATAAGGTAATATAAATTGTTATTTTAAGAACGTACATAAAAGCTATTTACCTGTTCTGAGAATGGCTTGAGCTTCTAGACTTCGCTCTTGATCAGAATAACTTTCTTTAAGAAGGGAAGAAGCTACTTCTTCCCTTCTTCTTCTTTTACTTTTTTAGAAATTTTAGAAATACTCTCAGAAAGATTTGTGCTACTCTTTAAAGAGGAACATTTGTGGAGTTTACCTTTAGCAATTTCACAGAAACATATTTGGCAAAGTTTCAGTGTTGAGCTAGTTCCCTTTTTCATACTTTTATTTAATAATTTATTTCTTCCTTGACTGCATATAGTGCATAATATCGAGCAACCTCTAGAGGTTTGCAAGACAAATCAGAATTTTTCCATTTTAAAGTAACTTTGTCTGCAATAGTTTTACCAGCCTTACAGAGATATAAGTTTTTCTTGCAACCTGGGCATAATCTTGTAGGGTAGGCAAATACTTTAAGTGAAAACTCGGGCTTACAGAAAACTTTTACCAGACCTTCCAAATTATTATTAACTGGAATGCATTTGTTGATCTTTTCAAGGCAGCAACAGCAAATGATGTTCTCTCTTCTCCTTAGAGAGCAGAGGAGCCATAGATTCAATATATTAGGTATCTTTAATAAAATTAAAATAAAAATGCATAGTCAAAAAGAAATATTTTCAATAAAAAAATGTTTTTTTGACCAACTTTGTGTATTCTAATAATGTTTATGTATAAATATTAAATTAAAGACCTTGAAGAGTTGGTATATGAAATTTTTTTTAAATAAACTTCAACTTTCTGTCAGTATAATTAGTTTTTTTAAGTACGAAAATAATGACTTTTTATCAGGGTTTAGATGTCAATTTTCTAAAAATGTGATACCTCCCAGATTTTTCTAAATATGAAAATGAAGTGTCCAGATGTCCCACTTATTATATTTGTTAACATTTTTGGGGTACTCGGATAGTAAACTTAAACCTTAAATTTCTGACCTGTGTGTACGTCCTGACATTGTTGTGGGTGTAGAAATTAAGCATATAACTTCAGAATTGAGCATCCAACACTCATCATTTCTCATTGTCCAAAAGTAGTTTTTATCTGGTCCATGTGGATGCATGAATCTGACTTTTATATCAAAGTCACTTACATCTTCAGCAATCCCTACCCACCAAAATCCATCATAAAAACATGCAATATAATCCATTTTTTTAATGTTTAAGGAAATCTCTACATTATGTTTGCTTTTTGGAATGATATCAAATATTTCAGTGCATGTATCAATACTTGTTTTTTTATAACTTATAGTGTTAGGAGCAATTGGAGTTAAATGATGATACATCCTTTTGCCAGAAACAGTTCTTCCACCTGAATATCTTTTTTCTAATTGTAATCGTGTTTGGTCGATTTCTTTTTGATCTTCTTTTGAAAATAACTTATAACAAATTCCATTTATTTTGACTTTACAAAAGGAGTTATTTGTTTCAGACTTATAAAGTGAACATTTACTTTTGTTATAGTGATAACTTTGAACCTCATCCTGAACAACATATTGATAATATTCAGCAAAATCTTCTAATGTTAAGCATTCGTTTTGGTTGAGATTTTCTTTACAGTTTACTTTGTGTTTTTTCAATATATGAATGAGTGGTAAGGTTGTCAATACTGTCACATAATAAATCATTAAATTCATCTAGTGGCAATGATTGTAATAGTAGTGTTGTACGATCGGTACTCTGCCATTGCTTGAATGCTACATCTTCTTCAAGCTCATGGTCCATAAACTCCTGCAAAATTTTTTTTTAATGCTTCAATACCAGGGCATTGGTTACATTGATGCAACATACATTTTGCATTTTCAAGATAAAAATCATAAAATCTTTATAACTTTTATTCCACCTAATGGCATCAATGAGAAATTTTGTATTTTGGTGATGTATGCATACACATACATTGTGGGTACCTGATGCATTAATTGTAATACACCATTTAGGTTTAAGAGTACAAAACTTTGAAAAACTGACTTTGACGTTAGGGTAGTCTTTTTTAAATGCAACATGTAATTCATTTAGATTAAGTAGCAATAATCTTTTTTGAACATGTTGGTTTTTCTTAACACTTATATAATCTTTTTTTCCTGGCATCATTCTTGAAAATTTGTTACTTTGATAAAAGTTAATCACTAGATTAACTGTTTCTAATGAAAGTGGGTTTCCAGTTTTTTTTTCAGGCAATTTTAGAATTCCATGCTCATTTTTAACTTTTCTTGCAGTTTGAGCAAGATACTCAGACACTTCAAAGTAGCTTGATATCTTTGTACGTGTCCTTGATTTTGGTGCGAGCGTTAACATTTGCATCTTACGGTGATAAGAGTCAGTCTCTGAAATTTTTTATTTTATTTCTGTTGTTAAAGAAGTTTCTTTAATATTATATGCTAATGAGACCATTTTTGCAACTCTGTCAATAGTGTTCTTAAACTTGTTTTTACAGGCAGTTTGCTGTGTTTTGAAAGACTTTTTAGTTTGACTGGTGAAATTCCAAGCAATTCTATAGTGGTATCTAACTTAATTTTTTTCTCACTTTTTGATTCCCATTCCTCCTGTGAATTTAAATCTTCTTCAGTTTCTATTGCTTTTTTGTAACATTTACTGCAGAATTTCCAACCTGGGGTTACATAAACGTTATTTTCTTGCAAAAATTTTGACATGTCTATGGAAATCTTTATATTACCTAAATAGAAAATTTAGTTTTAGGTTTTTAAAATAACTGAAAATATAAAAATTTTTATAAATGATAAATTGTTTTTCTTTTAACTTCCACATGTAAATAACGTTAGATTACCTTTTATAGCAATTTTTTTACTTTCCTTGTGTGTTATAAAAGGACTGCAGCACCTAGTAATTTTTCTCTCAAAATATTTTTCATAGAATTGCTCATGATAACATGATAATTCTTATTAAACTATTTTTTTGTTTTAAATTTGCTCGTCATATTATTTCTTTTTGTTTTTTACAAGGAAGATCTTTAAATTGAACAAAACCATGTTTTCTAGAAAATTTAGGAAATTACAAATAATTAAAGTATCTTTAAAATAAAAAAACAAAACTTATGCTTGTTTTTGATACAGTAGGAGGTTTTAATTCACCAATTTGAAATAATGAAAATAAATTGTTTCTTAAACTAAAACAAAAAAAAAATATGTTTTTAAGTTGTATTTTATGTTAAAAAAAAAAAAAAAAAGGGAGATGGGGGGGGGAAAGAAGTCCATCCAAAGCCCCCTGGACCTCCCTTGAACCATGACTATAAATGTCCTAAACTAGTCAACAAATAACACTATTTAATGTTTTACTCAAATAAATGTTTTTAAAAATATTTTAATTGCTTTTGTTACAAAATTTAATTTTTTCTAAAAAGACACCATTTTTAAATGGAAACTTTGATCAAATATTAGAGAGACAATTGATGAATCTAATTTTTTTCAGTAGACCTAAGATGAAATAATGATATACAATTAAACTTTTTACTCGGGATTTTGGGCCACAGTCTTCATTTTACCAAGTCAATAATTTTTTTATTATGGACTGCAAGTGGTGTAAAAATGAACAAATTCTGAGACATAAGGTTGTCGAAAATTATTCTTTTTGGATGATTTCATATGGAATTACCCATGTGTAAGCTTGAAAAAAATCTCCTTCATACATGGAATAGAAATTTAATTATGATTGCAGAAAAATTATACAACTATGTTTATATATCTCTAGTTTTACATAAACTGCAGAACCAGTTTCACCCCTATCCTAGTTTTCAAGTTTTGAATTATTTCAGTTTATTATTTTAATATTTTTTTAGTTATAATCGAGACAAAATAATTGAGACAAAATTGTAAAAAAATCTTTTTTATTTGAAAATATTTTATTTTGAACAAAAACTTTAGAAAACTGCTGCATTTTGTCTTCTTCTGTTCATATGTTTATATTTTGTCTTCTTCTGTCTATGACTTTTGGGATCTGGTTTGTTACCTCAACTTTTAAAAGACCTCAACTTGTTTCTCTGTGCAGCGGCCTTCGTTGTCAAGGTTCGTGTTTTGGAGTTATAGAGTTGAGAGTGGGTTATAACCACAATTAAGTAGCCTCCTCATCTGTAGTGGCCTTCTCGGTCTTGTGGAGTTGAATTCACATTAAAAAATTAAATAAGTATATAAAAAAAATATTTTTTTAACAGATTGTGCATGTTCTCAAAAAGTAATTTGGTTTTAACAAAGGTGACCAAGGTAACAATTTGTTAAGTCTGAGTGTTAGTATAATATTTATTTTAATTTTTTAGGACCAGAATGTTCCAGTGAAGAGCATAACATTACTGTTACAGCAGTTGCAAATGTTACTTTATTTCTACCTCAACAAATTGCTTACAATGCTACATCATTAGATGTTGATATTATTATTAGTGGAACTGACATCTTACATCTTAATGTTTCTGTGTTTTCTGTCTCTGGAGAGAAAAGCTCTGTTCTTTTTTCAAAAATTTTTCCTAATGCATCAGGTATAATTTTTAAATAACAAAACACACAAACAAATATATATACATATATATATATATAAATATATATATATATATGTATGTATATATATGTATATATATATATATATATATGCACATATATATATATACATATATATATATATATATATATATATATATATATATATATATATATATATATATATATATATATATATATATATATATATATATATATATATATATATATATATGTATATATATATGTATATATATATATATATCTATATATATATCTATACATATCTATATATATATTTACATATATACATATATATATATATACATATATATATATATATATATATATATATATATATATATATATATATATATATATATATATATACATATATATATATATATATATATATATATATATATATATATATATATATATATATATATATATATATATATATATATATATATATATATATATGTATATATATATATATATATATATATATATATAATATATATATATATATATATATATATATATATATATATATATATATATATATATATATATATATATATATATATATATATATATATATATATATATATATATATATATATATATATATCTAATCCAACAGTATAAAATTCAACATGGGTTTGATAAAGTAAAATGGGTTTCAATCTACAATTATACCGCGTCACAAGAAGGCCCCCATCTGAGGCAACATAAATTCAAATTAAAAAAACTATTCTGCAAGAATACTATCAGATCAATTTTTTTCTCTAATCGTATAGTCAACATATGGAATAATCTACTGAGTGACATAATAGAAGTAGAATCAATAAATCAGTTCAAAAACAAAGTAGATAAATCAAATATTTGCAAAAACATTTTATTACAAAATTGTTTTTAAGATAATTTAATTTAGAAATTTAGGAATTGTGCAAAGCTGATACAGTGCAATATCAACTGTTATTGCGCTCCACAATTGTTAACACCAGTTATTTTAATTGGTCCAACTGTTAACACCAGTTGGACCAATTAAAAAATTTTTAGTCCTAAAAATGGACAAAAAAAAAAAATCAATTTCTGTTGAAATTTACTTAGTGCGTTTTGCAAATGGGCTCTTCATATATATATATATATATATATATATATATATATATATATATATATATATATATATATATATATATATATATATAATATATATATATATATATATATATATATATATATATATATATATATATATATATATATATATATATATATATATATATATAATCATATAAGACCAGAGCAATAAGAAAATTAATAAAAACACTTATATAATTATCTTCTACAGTCTGGTTATTTTTCAGCAGGTTCATCATGAAGAATAAATTATAGAAAAAAATATTTCATATGAAGTTGGGAATTGTTATAATTAATTTTATAAAAAATGTAGTTATGTTGCAACCATGAAATTACATAAGCTACAATATTAAAAAAAAAATTTGTTTGGAAAAAAATATTTTTGAATAAGGATAGTTTTAGTTTGGTCCTTTATTTTTATAATTTTTTTTAAAAGGTGTTTTTTTTTATGCCTGCATTTAGAAATTAATTCAAATTTTTTGTTTAGTAAATTTACTTAATCCATATGGGTAACTATTTCAAATTTTTCTTACAAACACAGCATACAATTTTTTATAATGATATTATGGCAGTTGCAGTTTTTAAAACAGACCAGTTTAATTTAAAAATACCTAATATATTTTGACAGCATTGTCTTTTTTGAGTATTTTTTATGTTAAAAGATTGTTTTTAGTCGGCATAACGTTTTGTGAGGAAACAATGCATTTATAAGTAATAATTTTTGATAACCATGGCCTTTGCCATTCATAGGGCAGTCAATTTTTTATTTGAAATTACAATTTCAGTGTTTTTTTCTTTAAGAAATTTATTTTTATTAATCAATTGTGTCTTCTTATAAATCTTTCAATATTTTTTGTACAGCTATAGCTTACTTAAATAGTACTTCTGTTAAAAATTTTGTGTAATTTTTTAGAGTGCTTAATTAATGCTTGTTAATTAATTTTAAAAATGTTTTTCCAATTTTTTTTTCAAATTTTAGCTCAAAATTTTTAAATCAGCTTTTTTTTAAAGCATCTTCATACACGCGTTTAGAAGAGTTGATTATTTTCATTAGAAGCGTTTTAATATAGATTATTGTTAATCAAATTAAGAATTTATTTAATGATTTGAGGGGGATGATTTGAATTTATATTAATATATGATAACTCATCATGATGAATTATCAATATATTAGAAATATCAATATTTATAGTTATTTTTTCTGAACCTTCTGAAAGTGAAACACACTGTAAAAGATATTTAGATAAGTGTTTTTATTAATTATATATATATATATATATATATATATATATATATATATATATATATATATATATATATATATATATATATATATATATATATATATATATATATATATATATATATATATATATATATATATATATATATATATATATATATATATATATATATATATATATATATATATATATATATATATATATATATATTTATATATATGCTGATTAATTGGTATCACTTTAATTGACTACATTTTGCATAATTTATTATTGGTTTACCAATTTCCTAACTGATTACGTTTAAAAAAAAAATTTAGTTTTTTAAACCGGGACAACAGGACAACAGCAGCCCTATCTATATATACTATATATAAAGTTATAGAATTTATATAAAATTAAACAATTTAATATATATTTTTAATAACAAATTCATTTCCAAAAAGGCTACAATCTATTATATTTTATAATCTATTATACTATGTTATGTAATTTGGCATTTAACAGAAAGTAAAAAAGAAAGTTAACAGAAAGTAAAGAAGAATAAGAAAACTGTTGAGAGACCCTAGCCCCAACCTAACCCTGACCCCTAACCCTAACCCTGACTTCAAAAACTGTAGACTGTATGAGTGAAAAAAATATGAAGGAATTCTTAAGTATTGTGTTTAAGGTAAAAAACTAGGTTTATAAAAGTTTTTTTAAGCATGGTGGAACAGTTACAGTAAAAGAATGCGACTCTGCTAAATGACTTGAATTAAATTAAATTTAAATTAAGATTAAATGACTTTGCTGAATTGAAATTAAACATTTAGGATTTGGGAACAAGTAATGTTTAAGAGATGTGCATCGCTTGTGCAGTGACCATGGTAGTAGAAATTAGAAAAAGTCATATGAAAAATGGGACAGAAGCACTAGCTTGGAAGCAGGTCCAACTACATTTCCAATATGTTTTTGGATTATGTCTAAAAGAGAATAAGCTTAATTAGACCATTTAAATATGACAAAAGTATTCCATACAATGACGAATATGAGACTTATAAAGTGGATTAAGGAGTAAGAAAATGGTAGCACCAAACAAACAAACTGAAGAGGAGAGATCTCATTCAAGATTGGCTCCTTTTTTTAAGCATTTAAAATCTCATAACTTTTTTGATCAAAGTATATGGTTCTATCTGCTAAGCTTGAGCCTCTTTCCCATTTTTATAAAGTTGCATTTCTGTAAATGTTATACAGAAATTTACAAAGTAAAATTTCTCTATAACATTTATATCATGGTTAGAAAAGTATTAAGGTAATATTTTGGAAAAAGTTTACTCTTGTCTAAAAATCCAATAGTTAGGCATGCATAATACAATGAAATAAAATATATCACAAACTTTAAATCTGGACAAAAAATCTTGACATCAGAAAATTTGAAATTTCATTAACTGAGTTAAATGACTCAATTAGTTTTACAATTGATTTTGGTACCAAGTTTTAAAAAAATGGTAACACCGTTTTTTAAAAGCACAATATAATATTAACTTTTTAGACATTGCAATTATTCTTGAAAAATAAAAAAAAATTTTAACATCTCTTTGTAAAAATTTTTCAGGATCAATATATTTACCTGTTGGAGGAGTGATGGAGACAGATATGTTTAAGGTTTATGAAACAGGTCCTGCTGGACCTTATCTTTCTGTAAATTTGGATCATCAAGTTTTTGAAGATGGAGAAATAATATCTTTTGAAGGTCATGTAGTTGCCTTAGGAAAGATAACATTTGTTGTGAGTTTTGATAAATTTACTTTTTTATTAAGTTGTTGAAATATTTTATAAAAAGAAAAATTAGAACAAGTTGTAAAATTTTTTTTTAACTGTTTTAACTTTCAATTGAAGTCTCAATTGTAGCTGTTCAGTTTTATATATTTATATGTGCTGTCCACTTTTCCTTTAACTTTAAAAAAGATTAATTTTTTAGTGTTTGTAAAAAATTATTACAAAAAGAGTTAAAAACAATTAATTAAGTGCTAATTTAAAAAATATTTTTATTTTATCAAAGTAATTTTTTCTTAATGTTGTTGACATATTAAAGAGTATTGTTGTTGTTTGTATTTTAAAAAGAGATAATAACGATATAATCTTGATATAATAACGACTTGACAACTTAAATTAGATAAAATAATTTAAAATGTTAAGTTATAATTCTTTAATTATTAAACTGCTTTTAATTAATTTTTTCTATTTAGCAGGAAATTCTTTTCTTATTCTTCTATTTTTTAATGTCTTTTTTTTTTATTTTTTTTTTATTTTCATTCACCTCCTCAAGGCCGAGAAGGCCACTACAGACGAGGAGGCTACTTATTTTGTTGCTATAACCCTCTCTCAACTCTATAACTCCGAAACACGAACCTTGATGAACAAGGCCGCTGCGCGGAGAAACAAGTTGAGCGCGGTACTACCAGAGACGTGAGTTTTACCCCTTTTTTTTTACTCCCTTTTCTTGTAGAAAATTTAATTTTAATATAGGTTATATAAATTATTTCCTTTTATATTTAAAAGTTGGACAAAAAAGTTAAAAAAAAATCAATCTTTTTTCATGAAACCAATCATTTGCATAAAAAATAATTTTAAAATATTTTACCAAGAACCAAAAATCAAATGATTTATTGACATCTTGTTTAGTGAGAAAAAGTTTCTTATTTCCAAAACCAGATTTCTTTTTGGTAAACAGTATTCTTTGAATCTTTCAAACAGTTCTTTTCCCGTGATTTTATCAATTTCATAATTGTCATTTTCAAGTCCATGTGTTGAATATTTCTCTTCCTTTTTCACCGATAATAAATAAGAATGTTAAGTATTTTTCTTCTTCAGATTTATTTTGCTGCTTTTATTTTCTCATTGTTTGTTTCCATTTTTTCCATGTAACAGCAATATTGGATTCATTGAAGTCCATTTTGTTTGGCTTAGGTAAAAAGTGTCTTATTTTTTTTTTTTTTTTTTATAGATAAGCACTTTCCAAAATCTTTTGGTTATTTTTCGTCTTCTTATTTTTATAAGAAAGAGAATTGCTTTAATATTTGCTTGACATTTATTTCTATATTTATATTAAATATTTACAACTAATTATTATATTAATTGTGTGTAGTCTTCTCGTGTCATTATTTCAACCAACATTGAGTTAAGTGCAATGGTTTTTATTGTGAGAATTTACATGTGCAGAATTAGTCAGAATTAATTAATGGAATACTTTAACAATCGTTTTCTGTGTAGTTCTCCAAAGGAAATTACTTATTTCGCAATCACTAATTGTTATTCTGAACAATTTTTAGAAATGATTGTCCAGAGTGAATTTTACTTTCACAAGATCAGGAAGAATTTCAAGGTAACCTAAACATATTGATTACGACATGTATTTTTAAAAGAAGGAAGATGTAATGATTGTTGCGCGAACAATTCCCTCTAGACAATAATTTCTAACAACTGTTCAGAATAACGGTTAGCAATTGCAGTATTAAGTGATTAAGGGAATAAGTGATTCCCTTTGGAGAATTTCACGGAAAATAATTACTAAAAACTAATTATCCTTAAGATAAATCCCTTAGATAAATCCCTAAGAGACTGATTCCACATGATTAAATATATATTTTCCACATGAGGAATTCCCACTATAAAAGTATACACGCAATCAGTATAAACTAAATGTTGGTTGAAATAATGACACGCGAAGACTACACACAATCAGTATAAACTAAATGTTGGTTGAAAGAATGACATAGGAAGAATACATACAATCAGTATAAACTAAATGTTGGTTAAAATACTGACATGAGAAAAATACACACAATCAGTATAATAACTAGTTGTAAATATTTAATATAGATAAAGAAATAAACTTCAAACAAATATTAAAGCAGTTCTCTTTCTTATAAAAATAAGACGAAGCATTACAAGTAGTAACAATGAAAAAATCCATTATACAATAAACATTGTTGCTGTGTTCATGAGAATTCACTTTAAAAGGTTTAGAGCTGTTTAGGTGGTCTGACTGGCTCCTTATGTTTAACTTTTGATTCTGGTTGCATGGAGCATATTTATTTAATTGTTGAAGTGTTTATACCAGAATGCCAAGCTATTAATGGCACATTTTAGATCTAAATGGACTTAGATCTTTAAGTTAAGAAGTATTACTATGCACTGAAAACAATATAATCTTGATATGTCTACCAGCTCATTCATATTTTACATATATATGGAGCACTCATGTTAGTTTGGCAGCTGTATTACTATATCGTGAAAACAGTATAATCTTGATATTTCTGCCAGCTCATTAAGCTCATTCATATTTTTACAGATACTGGATAGAAATGTATATTGCCATGCTAAAGAAGTGTGGAAACTGATTCTCACCAATTTTTACAGACACAAAATGCAAGAATTTAAATAGAGAAAACTTTCCTCCAATGCTTAAACAGGTGTGTGAGAGTGGGGAGTGTTTTACACATTTCACTCTAAGTGGGGAGTGTTTTACACATTTGCACACTTGCTTGTTTTTAATAGACTGGGTAATATACTTATTAATGTAAATTTATGCTTTAAGTTTTTTCATGGATTAAAAAAATCCAAATGAATAGATTAAGAAAGAAAAAAAAAGGAATTTTTAGTTCATCATAAAGTTTTATGTCATAAATTTATGTTTTAAAATTTGTTTTTTTATTTGAAACAACTGTTACTTTGACAAATTAATTTGTTCTTTAATGCATTTTTCACATTCTCCAGTAACTCTTTCGTTTTCCTTCCTCTCTTGGTGTAAGATTAATTAAAGTAAAGATTAATTAAATAAAATAATATTTTTTATTTTGAATGTTTTTCTAGTTCTATAAAAAAATGTGATCGTCAAACTTTAAATTTGATATTCAAACTTAAAAAAAAAAAAATTTTTTCCTTCTATCACATAATTTTTTTGACTTCATGGAGTTCTCTTCAAACGAAAATCTCAAAAAAAATTTTTTCAAGATTTACTTAATCTCAATCTTTTTTCTTAAATTGTAAATCTAAATATAAATCTAAATATAAATCTAAAATATGAAATAAATCAGAAAATATGCAGGTATACAATAAATTTATATAAATATACAATAAATTTGATACCTGATTATTAAAAAGGTTAGCTGTTATTGGCAAAAAAAAAGAAAGAAAATTCAATTAGATTTTATGTTTAGTTTTTGCTACTTTATTTCATTTCTGTTAAATCATATTGTTTCATTTTTTTTTTAATATTTTAAAATTAAGTTTAAAAATTTAAAAGTTTATAAGCTTGAATTTTTGTTAAAATTTTTAGTTAACCCTGTGATCAATTTTTAGTCAACTCCAGTCGTTTTTCAATTTTCAGAGTACGATTCCAACTCCAACTCCAAAGCAAAATTTTTGAAAAATTCTTTGAATTCTTTTAAAAATATTATGCAATAAATTAAAATTTTTTTTTTGAAGGTTTCTATCAAACTAAAAAAGTTTAAAATTTTAAAAATTTATAAGCTCGAATTTTTGTTAAAATTTTTAGTTAACCCTGTGGTCAATTTTTAATCAACCCTCTGGTCAATTTTTAGTCAACACTTATATTAAGATTTCAAGAGCTGTAATGATTTTCTTTTTTTTTTTGTTAAACATATTTACTTCTTAAAAGGCTGCAAGTAAACATTTTTTGATTTGGGAGTTACTAAAAGGAAAAGAGTAGAGTTAAAGAGCAAGAAAACAATTGAAAAAAGAATTAAAAATTTTGATTTAAGAAAACATGTGGATTGGAGAAAATTGCAAATTGCAAAGATTTTGATGTTTGAGAAATGTTAGAAAAAAATAAAATAAATAAAAAAAACAAAAGTTTTTTAAGCATCAAACTATATTTAAAGTAAATAGTATTTTTATATACTTTTTTTATACAGCTGTAATTTTAATAAATTGTTATTGGCGTCAATTAATCCAAATAATAAATTTTCAATTCTAAAATAAGAAAACTTAAAACTTTTTCAAAAAACCTAAAATTCCTACACTAGCACTAGTTAGATTTGCTAATTTTTTGTTTGTTTTTGATTCCCTTGATAGAAATTTACCTTCCTCTATTACAAATATTTTCATGGAAATTCGATTTATACATTCACATTTAACTAGAAACATTAATAATGGAAAACTAGATGTGAAGCATCAATAATGGAATGATGTACTGCCCTATAAAACTTTGAGGTATGATAAGTAATTCAATTACACATCAGTGCATCAGTACAGAATTGAGGTCTTGTGTGAATTGTGAATGAGTTTGAAAAATTAAAACTTTATAATAACTTATTTTTGTTTCTTTATTTAAAATAAAATAAATTTAAGCGAGTTAAAAAAAAAAAATTATTATAGTTTTTTTATCATTATTTACTTAATTACTTATTATTATTACTTTTATTAATATATTTATAAATACTATTATTTTTGCTGTTATTAATGAATAAAGTTATTATTGTTATTATTACAATTTTAATCAATGTTATTGATATAATTACTTGGTGTCACTTCTTTGATAAGGTTTCTGCATGAGTGGCACCTTCTTTGCCAATCAGTTATATTTATTCTTTATTTTTTTTTATTTTTCAACACCTTCGCTTCCAACAAGGCTGCAAACAACCACTAATAGAGTTGGAAGTTACTGGAAAAGAAAAAATGATAGAAGTTTATAGAGCAAGATAACAATTGACAGGCGACTTAAAAGATTGCATTTTATATGAATTAGGAAAGCAAGATAAAGA